CATCTACCCAGCATCCACCCACCCATCCATCAGTTTATCCACCCATCCATCCATCCATCCATCCATCCATCCATCCATCCACCCGTCGATCCACCTATCATGCATCTGTCTGTTCAACCATCCATCTACCTACCATCCACCCACCCATCCATCCATTCATCCATCCATCCAACTATCCACCCACCCACCTGACCCTACTAAAGGCCAGGCATTGGAAATAAAACTATAATAAAAGCACAGCTGTTATACTCAAGGAAGTAGGATCTAGCTGGGGAGAAGAATATGGAACATGGATAATTATAAAACAATTTAGAGGGTGTGATGATGGGTTACTCATTCTGAGAGCATTGAGGATGCGTGGCAGACAGGCAGGCTTCCTGGAGGAGAAAGTACATTTTGGAGGCACCAATTCACTTGCTGGATGACCCTGAACATGTCTTTAACCTCTCTGGGCCTCAGATTCTCCACTTGTGAAAGGATGAGAGAGAAGTAAGTCCAGGCCTGAAAGTCTCTGCTCATGTCCAGGCTGGCTTGGGGAAGCCCACCCCAGTCCTTAGGTTCAGAGTGCAAACTCAGCCCATGGGTTAGTGAGTTGGGAGGGGTCTGAGAGGGAGCCCCCTGCTCCCACCGTGACAGTGTCCACAGCCACCAGGGAAAGACGGGACACATCTGCAGAGTCCGGTGGGGGCTAAGTGGGATTTTCAAGTAGGGCTTTTCACCAAGCATCCTCTCGGACAAGGTATCAGCTGAAAAGTGCTTGGGGGCCTCAGGCAGAAGTGAAACCCTTTCCTTGAGCCTGTCCCTGGAGTGGTGTGTGTGGCTCTCAGGGGTCAGGGAGAAGGACACCAGGGAGCATTCCCTCGAAAGGTTCCTGCACCCCAACAGCTGGGCCTCGGGGGCCATGAAGGCACTCAGACCCTGCTGAGAAACAAGTTGGGCCATAGCTGCTGCTCAGAGAGGCGTGGGACCTACGTCTGTGCCCTGTCTGCTCCACCTGGGGGACAGAGAACCCCTGAGGGCTGGGCACTGCCCACCCACGAGCCCCCCGACCTCTAGGAAAAGTGGCCACCATTGTCCTGGTTTTACAGAAGAGGAAACAGAGGTTGATAACTTATCTGAAATCATGGAGACAGAAAGTAGAATTGTGGTTACCAGGGGCTGGAAGTGGGGGGATGGAGAGGTGCTGTTTAATGGACACGGAGTTTCAGTATTGTGGGAGGAAAAGTTCTAGGGACGAACAAGGTGATGGCTGAACAACATTGTGAATGAACTTAACGCCACTGAACTGTGCACTTAAAAAGGTGAAGATGGTAAATTTTGTGTTATGTTTATTTTACCACAATTAAAAAAACCCTGAACGTCTGACATTTAAGTGGTCCGGGGTGGGCCTGGACATCACGATTCCGACAGTGACTCTAGTGTCCAGCCAGGATTGGGGCTCAGCGTCTGCCTCATTTCACACCAGCTGGTGGGATGGGTACCGTCACTGCCTCCGGCTACACATGAGGACACTGAGGCCCAGGGTGACAGGTGGCTCACCTTGTGCCTAAGGGCCTTGAGTGGCTCACCTTGTCACCCTCAGTGTAAATGGGGGAGAGGAGGTCTGCTCTCCCCACCCCCTGGGCCACTGGGAACGCAGACCAATGCTTTCCACTCCCTCCCCATCTACACCGGGCGAGGAGGAAGTGCTGCCCATTGAACCCACTTTCCCAGCCCCGGGATGAAGGAGGAAACAGGGAGGAGGACTCATCATTGTGGGTGGGCGTCCCAGGGTGGCCGTGTCGGCTGTGCTCACCTGACTTGCATATGGTGAACTCCATGGCACCCCCCGAGTTGAGCAGCTTCTGGACCAGCGTCTTGGCCAGCATGGTGGGCGTGAAGAGGACGGGCCGGCGGCGCTCGCAGTGGAAGGCGCGCACCAGGCTGTAGGGGATGAGGCTGAGGTTCCTGCTGAGCTCGTTCTCGGGGTCCAGCTCTGGTGGGGACAGGAGAAGGCTGGCTGTCAGAGTCCTGCCTGCCAGGGACATGGGGCAGTGAGGCCCCAGGCAGCCTCTTGGCCCCACAGAACCTTGAAGGCCTTCTGGGGAGGATGGGACACCTGGGGCTGGTTCTTGCAGACAACTGCGCAGAGCGACACTCACGCTCCATCCAGGAACGTCCTGAGGTGACCGTGGGCCGGGCACTGCTCTGGGATCCAGGCTGACCATCCCTCCCTCTGGGTGCTCACATGCCATGGAGGGGAGGTGGTGGTGGGAGGCAGACAAGGAAGGGGTCACAGCTACATAAACCCTGCTCATCGTGGACACGGCTGAGCTTGGAAGCAAGACATCGCTTTAGCAGATGGTCAAGGACAGCTTCTCGGAGTAGGCGCCTGACTGGGACCAGAATGGTGAGAAGATCTGGGCAAGAGCAGTCCACGCAGAGGGAAGGGTGGGAGTGGCCAGGGGGCAGGGACGGCCGGGCAAGGCCTGGGGTGTCTTTCAGGAGCACTGAGAAGCCTCAAGCTGAGGCAGGGCGTGACTGCACAGCCTCCATTGCACTGTTTCAAGCCGTCTCTGGCTGCTGTGTGGGGAGCGAAGTGGAGGCCAGTGGGGGTCGGGGGGTCTGCTAAAGGCTGCCCCGGGCAGCCTGACGAACTGCTTCCCAGAAACCAGTGGCTCGTCCCTTCACTTCGTCCCCTGACCTGGCTGTTCCAACTCCTGAATGGCCAGCCTGGGGGAGGAGGCCCGGCCTTCCTCTGACAATTAACGCTGGGCTCGGCGTCCTTTCCCCGAGCGTGGCCAGCCTGGCCCCGGGAGGGACGCGGGGAGGGGCTGGCTGGCCATCAGCTGGGTTTGCCACGGGGGACGGTGGACCGGGCAGCCCCTCACTGGCTTGACAAATGGCAAGAGGCACTCAGTGGGGAGAGCAATCAATAAATAAATACTTCACAGCAAACAGTGCCAATTAACACGGGCGTGTGGGCCCAAACCAGCTACAGCAAGTGTCAGGTGGGGGTGAGCTTGGCAGGGACGTCACCCCGGGAGGCGCATGGCCCCGAGCCAAGGCCGGCCAGAGTTTCCCTTGCACCTCTTCCCTTTCCCTTTTGAGGGAGCAGATTTCCAGGCCGCTTCATGGGGTTGATACATCTCCCAGGGGTGAGGGGTGTGTGCCTGTGTGACCCGTGGGTGGCAGGGAGGGGCCAGGAGGTCACTGCGTACCTTCCTGCTTCTCTGTCAAGAGCTTGGTGGCGTCTAGGGAGGACCGGGCCAGGCTCCCCAGCGGGCTCCCGGAGATGATGCGGACCCGCTCATTGCTGTTCATCCGCTTGTACTTGTTCTCGGACCTGCTGACAAACTGCAGGGACAGAGGGGGACTGTTCTCCCTGTTTTTGATTCTAACCAGACTGAGCAGCCTCAATCTGGAAAAAAGTCAGACCTTTGTTCAAATCCCAGCTCTGCCCCTGGGGGGCAGACCTTGGGCCCGCCACCGCCCCTATAAAAACAGGAGATACCTAGCAGGTGGCTGGAGTTCTTTAGCTATTGGATAGATACCATCAGCTGTGAAAAAATGTCCCTGCTCTCTTCCCCAACCAGGCCTTGATGAATCAGTCAATCCATCTACATTCCCATGAAAACTCTGGGTGCAGCCTCTGCTGGCACTTTGAGACCTGATATGCCCCAGCTGGTGAAGACCCCTGGCTGGGAGCCCCCTTCAGCAGGGACAGTCACAGACTGCCCACCTGGTCGGCATGTGCAGGCAGACAACTTCATCTCCCCTCACACTCCCCACAACTCCCATCTTGGCATTCCCAAGCCCTCTGGAGAGCACTTGCCCCCTTCTATAATTCACAGAGTTGAGTCCTGGAGGGCAGAAACGGATACCTCAGCAGTGGGTACCGAACCCGGGTTTGTACCTATACCCTGGGCTACTCTGAGCCTCTCCACACCCTTCCTTCTGCAGGGAAGAAAATCTTATGGGGCTGGGATCTCAGCCTGGCTCTGGGGTTAACCGGTCACGTGCCTCTGGAGGAGACTCTCAAGGCTTCAGACTTGCTGACATGTGGGCATATTATGTGTCATCTCAGATGGTCTTGCCCCACTGCGCAGACTTGCCAGGGTTCCCTCCCACCTGGGTGTCTCGCGACCACCTGCTTGTGTCTACCTGGGTTTTAGGGTCATGCTGCAGGCCATTTCTCTGGGTTTTATCTATTCCAACATCAGGACGGAGCAGTGGAGCATCACAATGACTCCACTGGGGTCTAATTAGTGCAGCTCCTGCACAGGAACATGCTCATGTGGCCACATTTCAACATTACTCTCAGCTTTTGTCAACTGGTATTATAAGAAATGGCCACAAAGAACGCTTCTGCATCTATGTGAAATCACTTCTGAGGATATTGCATACTATGCTAGTCAATGTTCTTTGTATAATGATCCATGCAAAAAAAAAATTTCCTTTCAGAATTAAGTACAAGGGAAAAATCATTTCTGGTCCTAAAGAGCTACCATGTTCTCATATTCGGGTAGGATTTAAAAAAACTTGCTGGGTTTAGCTTTTTTCTGTGGCTGCCAGGATGCTCAGTTAAACTGAATGCTCAATCTGAGGAACTAAATTGCCTAGATATTTGTAATATTTGTTTTCTTCTCCTGATACACTGATTCTGATTTTTCTTTTTTAAAGATGACCGGTAAGGGGATCTTAACCCTTGACTTGGTGTTGTCAGCACGACACTCTCCGAAGTGAGCGAACTGGCCATCCGTATATGGGATTTGAACCCATGGCCTTGGTATTATCAGCTCCACACTCTCCCGAGTGAGCCATGGGCCGGCCCCCTGATTCTGATTTTTCTTTTTTAAAGATGACCGGTAAGGGGATCTTAACCCTTGACTTGGTGTTGTCAGCACCACACTCTCCGAAGTGAGCGAACTGGCCATCCGTATATGGGATTTGAACCCATGGCCTTGGTATTATCAGCACCACACTCTCCCGAGTGAGCCATGGGCCGGCCCCCTGATTCTGATTTTTCTATGAATATTTTTAACAGCCAAGTTGTTTAAGTTTCTTTTAGCCATAAATTTCCTCAAATCTTTTGTGAAAGTGGGATTTGCTTCCAATGGGTGCAGAGAGTGTCTACCAACCTGTCATTGAGAGGATAAAATGGGACAGGAGATGTGAGCATATGAAAAGTTGCGAGTGGTGTACAAATACAAAGCACTGTTATTTTGATACGGGTTTCTCTTCTTGGTAGGGAGAGGGCAGAGCTACAGCAAAATGTGATTGAAAAGTCAACAGACACTCTGGGGAGCCTTACCTGAAGGAGTTGGCCAAAAAGGAAACTTGCTCGTGACAGACGGGGACTGACCCGGGGGTCGCTTGTTGAAAGTGTTTCTTCTGGCTGCAGAGTGTTCTGAAATGAGTTTATCAATCAGTCAGACCTAGCTGGGCTTGGCAGGATTCATGAATGCAATAATGCTGTTGAGAACCAGAGAGCTGTCCTCAAGCCCCCTCTGTGCTAAAGCTTCAGCCGTGGAATCAAAGAGTTTCAGATGGGGAGCAGATGGGGAGGGGTAAGAGGAGTCCTGAGACTTGGGGAAGGCTGCTTGTCCCAACAAGGACCAGAGACGTAGAATAAAGGCCTTCCAGCATTCCAGCAGGACCCAAAACCTTGGTTCAGCAAACACCCTCTTCTATTACAAAGTAAGATCCCGGGGGAGAGCACAAGAGGATGGGGCTCCTTCTGGTGGAGGTGTCCCATTCCTAAGAAACCAAGTCCTCCGTAATTGACCATCCCAATAATATTAATGGATCTCATTTCTTACTCCTTCCAAAAGGTAGGTTTGAAGCTGGCAAGATCTCTGTCCATGCTGCCCTGGCAGGGCTGCTCGCAGACCTACCCGGAGTGCCCTTAGGGTGTGGTGGGCGGTGTCTGCGTCCTCCCGGCTGCCCCTGTGCATCAGGCGCTGCAGCTTGACCAGGAGGAGCTGCTGGGCTCTGGGGAGGCAAGAGAAGAGGAGCCTCAGGGGCTGGAACAGAACCCAAGGCCAAGCACGTGGAAGCGAGCAGGGCCACTGCAACATGTCCACGTGGGTGGGGTGTGTACCTGGCCCTGTGCAGAAACGGCCCTGTGGATGGGGTGAGCCCTGAGCCTGAGGGAACCCCAGGGAGAACGTTGCACCTCACATCACTGTCTGAATCCTACTTTAGCACGAATGTATAGTGGGGCTGAGGCAAAGTGGCCTTAACTTCTCTGAGCCTCAGTTTCCTCATCTGTAAATCTGGTCTGATGCTGCTTACCTTGCAGGACTGGCCTGAGAAACAGTGTTATAGTCTTATAGATGCTATAGTGTTGACGTGCAGTGTTAAAGTCTTATAGATGCTTTCTGGATGCCTGCTGTGGTATCTGACACATTGCCTGTGCTCAGTCCTTGCCAGCTAGTACTGCTCCAATTACACCACATTGTTGGGGCGTGGCCTATGGAAAGGCAATGACTAGCAAACACAACAGGGCAAAAAATCGAGTGCCAAGCTGTGTGGTTGTTACCAGTCTGAAAGAGGCTGCTACGAGATTTTAGTGAATGGCGAGAGCAACGTCCCTGGGAGGCAGGAAAGGTTTCCTGGAGGAGTGGGGACTGGGGACCTCACTGTTAATGGGCAAAGGAGTGGCCTTCCATGGCCTGGGCTCCTCTGTAAGCCGCTTTGCTGATGTTCACAGCATCTCCAGTCCCCTGCCTGGTCCCTCCACAAAGTCAGGGAAACTGAGGCCCTGCCCAGGTTCTGGCCTCACCTACTGTAGCTGGGAATTGTGCCCATGTCCAGGTCATGGTCCATGAAAGGGTCGACCCGTGCACACAGCCACTCGTGCCTGTCCTGGTACATAGTGTCACGAACATGCACGACATCATCACACTTCAGGGACATGGAGCAGGCGTCCAGCTGGCTGACCCGTGCACACAGCCACTCGTGCCTGTCCTGGTACATGGTGTCACGAACATGCACGACATCATCACACTTCAGGGACATGGAGCAGGCGTCCAGCTGGCTGGAGATGTTCAGGTTCAGCCGGATGTAGAATGAGTCCCCTGATGTGATCAGGCCCTCCTCCATGTCCTTCAGCAGTTTCCGGTACCCTGCAGAGGGAAAGATGTTCCAAATGTGCACCAGCTGTCTATTGTGCAGGGCCCCCAACAGTCAGGGCATCTCTTAGAGCAAATTCACTCACCACCATCCTCAGATAATATGCCTGTGGAATACGTTCTTTTTACAATTCATGGCTAGGGAAGTTTTTCCTCCCTGATGAATGGGTAGCCATGTCATTTATGGGTTTTCCTCTTTGTCTTGGCTGCCAGGAATCTTAGAGCTAAAATTTTACCACGTTGCAATGATTACCTTTCCTAGCATTTCTGCTCTAATCTCTATGCCTTCCCCACCATTACATGCTACTTCCTTCTTTTTTTTTTTTTTTTGAGATGGGTGGCACTGCGCTCAGCCAGTGAGCGCACCGGCCATCCCCACATAGGATCCGAACCTGCGATGGGAGCGCTAGCTGCGCTCCCAGTGCCGCACTCTCCTGAGTGCGCCACAGGGTCGGCCCAGTACTTCCTTCTTATTCTTTATTTTTTAATTGATGCCTAAGTTACACACAATAAACTGCACACATTCCTAAGTATTCAACTTGAATTTTCACAAATGTATACACGTGGGTAGCCACCTCTGAGAACACTCTCTGTCAATTTCCTTCACAAGGGTAACCTTTATCCTGGCTGCTATCACTACAGAAAAGCTGTACCTCACTTCATAGAAATGGAACCAAGCAGAATACAGTCTTTCACTTCTGGCCTCTATGCTCAACATTATGTCTGTGGGATGCGTCCATGATGTGGCAATGTAGCAGTAGTGTGTTCTTTTTCAGTGCTGTGTAGTATTCCACACCAGTGCATTTACCCATTCTCTTGTGCACACATTTGCATCGTTTGCAGTTTTGCCTATCATGAATAAATCTGCTATGATTACACATTGCTTGCAGTGGACATGTGCACTCATTTCTCTTGGATATATACACAGAAGCGGAATTACTAGGTCACTGAGTATACATATACTTAGCTTTAGTAGATACTGCCAAATGGTTTTCCCAACTGGTAGGACCATCCACATGTTGTTTTAACCTTATTTAAATGTCATCATCCTTTCAAGTAAGAATTACTAGGTCACTGAGTATACATATACTTAGCTTTAGTAGATACTGCCAAATGGTTTTCCAAACTGGTAGGACCATCCACATGTTGTTTTAACCTTATTTAAATGTCATCATCCTTTCAAGTAAATTTTTGCAAATATTTTGGAAGGGCATAAGCTATGAATACAACAAATGCAGCAAGCTCTAAGTGAATATCCATGACATAAATCTATAATATGTATCCCTTAATCAGCAGCATATGCAGAGGGCTGCATAACACAGCCAGGCCCAGAGAGGCTTGTCAAATGTCCACACTGCACGTTCCAGGGACATTTTTAGCTGTCTGGGTTGTCTGGTTAATGTTCCCATTGACTGGGCATGGAGAGACAGGGATTCCCTGTTGGTTCTTTCAGGGGATACTGGCTTTGTCCAGAGCATCTCAGAATCCTTCCTGCTCACCGGGCCAGGGTCAACACCAATTGCTACCTAAACTCTCTGCCTGCCATGAGTGAAGTGCCTACAAACAGGACCCTGCTAGAGAGAACTTTCTTTCCCTGGAGCTCCATACTGTAGGGCTATCTGCTCACAGCTCTGGAGGGGCACTGCTCACATTGTGTTTTGTGACAGGGCTGGCCAGTGGGCAGGGCATTGCCCAGAGATTTTCTGCCAGGCTGGAAAACCAGGCCACAGGAGCCAGGAAGAGCCAGCCCTACATGTGGGAGCGACTCAGCCCTGTGTTTGGGAACAGAGTGTCGTTATCATCTTTCGCTCCAGCAGGATACTGCTGGGAAGGAGCATGAGCAGGCAGCACTGGAGAGCAGCTAGAGAAAAACTGGCTATTTATGCTCTGTTGAAACATTCATGAGCCCTGGCGGTTAAAAATAAGATCCAGCTGCAGAGATAATCATGCAGGAAAACCCGGAGGTGAGAACAGAACTCAGACTTTGGGAAATAGAAAACAAGGCTCAGAGCTCTCTGCCCAGGAGTCTTGGGAGAGAAAGAGGAGATACGATTAAAAAGCTGCTGGAGGCCAGATGAGAAGGGTGAGGCCCACCTGCCCTGGAGCTGGGGGACCATAGAGTGAAAGGCTTGGGGGCTGAGATGTGGCTCAGTGGCCTGCTTGGCTGACAAGGCCACCCACAGCTGCTGCCCAAGGCAGGGCCAGGAAGCCGGAGAGAGGAAGCAAACAGCAACCTGGCGGGCAGAGGGGTGAGGTGGGCCAGGCAGGGAAGCAGCCCGTCAGCTTGGGCATTTGCCTCCTCCTGCCTGGCTCCAACACATGTGCTTGTGGCTGGGGATGCTGTGTCCCTGTGACCAGGCAGGCAGCCCGAGGCACTCCAGGGCAGGTGCATGTGGACTTACCTAGAGAGCCCAGTGCTAGACAGAAAAGCCCTGCTCACTGTGGTCTGCGTCCCTGCCTGCTCTCCCACACCTGCCCCTGCCCCCATCCTCCTGACAGTGCGGGGAGGGGGTTCGTTCCTCCCACTGAACAGATGAGCAAGTAGAGGCCCTGGGTGGTGAGGTTCCTTGTCTAAGGTCAGGGGTCCCCCCTTGTCTGTCCTGTTGGCCGAGGCCTCACCTTCCTGGTTGACCTTGTAGTGCAGTGTGACGGGACCGCTGCACCTCTGGATGGTCCAGTGCACCTCCTCCTTTGTGCATGTATCCAAGGGGACGCTCTGCCTCTCGCCTTTGATGCAGCCTTCTAGCTAGATACAAAGACACATTATTCTTCTCCGGGCCCATAGGCTAACAGAGCTGCAGGGTGAGACTGCTCCACACAGGAAATAAAAGTATCTGTCCCTGAACGAATGACTAGCTCAGCACTGCTGAGAGGAAGGAAAGCATCCTGCTTAAGCGGGATGCACTGGCCTCCCGTCTACTCCCCTAGAGCACGCGTGTGCTGGGTGTGTGCACGCATGTGCATGTGTGCCTATGCACAGGCTCTAGGAACACAAGTGAGGAGTGGGGAGGGAGGGACCTGGAGATGCTGACAGCCTGGCACCTCCTGGCCGGGAATCTGTAGCTTAATGCAGGGCTCAGGGGATCTGCCCCCTCCCTCCATCAGTAAACATCGCACCTCTCTGGTTGTGCTGCCCGCTCCCACGGCCCCCGGTTCCTCACCAGCAGTAGCTGGTGGCCCTCATGGAGGCCCGCCTTCTCGGCCAGGGAGCCTGGCTTGACTGAGTGGATGAAGCTTCCGCGTGCATTGCCCCCCAGCAGGGTGAGCTGGGAGATGAGGCTGTCACCATTCAGTGTTGTATGCTGCACTGAAGGCCCAGGACCCCGCACGTGCCCCCCAGATGTGACTGAGGGCCGGAATGGTCTGTATCAGGAAATAAAACAGTAGTTAGGCAGCTGGGCTGAAAAGAGAAAACACTCTACCCAGGACATGCCAGAGGATGGGTGGGGACTCGGTGGTGCAGCCCCCTGCATTCATCAGATGCTGGGGTGTCCTGGCTCCCAGGGGTTGTGATCACACCACAGCCACCTTACTGGCTATGTCAAGTGAGAGCTCACAATTGGCTCCTGCCATAAGAAACACAGATGAGGAGCTGAGCTGCCCTCCCTGGCTGCAGCGGCCACAGTGAGACACTGTCTAGGCTGAGACCTGAGGCCACAGGCGTCAAGTGAGAGCTCACAATTGGCTCCTGCCATAAGAAACACAGATGAGGAGCTGAGCCGCCCTCCCTGGCTGCAGCGGCCACAGTGAGACACTGTCTAGGCTGAGACCTGAGGCCACAGGGCTGACTGCCTGCACTGGCTACCCTGCCCCCGCTTGCCACACCAGGAGGGGCCGTTTGAGCACTGCTCACTGAACTTTGGTGTGTCATGGATGGGCCCCAGGCCTGTCAGGCAGCGAGGTAACGTTTCTTTGCTTCTACTATGCTGTGCTGGGTGGCCCTGGGCAAGTCCCTTCATCTGGGGGCCTCGGTTTCTTCACTTGGACAATTGGGGGAAGTGATTTCTGACTCGGGGATGCTATGATTCCTGGACTGACTTGGATGATCCCCTTTGCAGGGCAGCGAGGGAGTGAGAGGCCTTTATCCTGTCCCTGTCCCCCGTCCCGGCTTCCCCTTTCCCACGACCGCCATGGTACCTTTCTAGAGAGAACTTCCTAAACATGAGGTTGACCTGCTCCAGGTCATAGGCGTCCAGACCCTCAGACTGGTGGGAGGAGGAGGAGGAGTGAATGGAGGGGGGCCCAAAGGAGTAGCGCTCATGACTGTCATCTGCAAAGGAGAAAGGGACTGTTAGGCCCCAGCAACGGCCAGAGGAAGTGCTGAGGGG